CGAATGAGTGGGGGGTCTCTCTCTCACACACACACACACACACACACACACGGAATGAGTAGGGGTCACACACACACAGAATGAATGGGGGGGTCTCACACACGGAATGAGTGGGGGGCTCTGTCACACACACCCACACACACTGGGAATGAGTGGGGGTCTCACACACGGAATGAGGGGGGTCTCACACACAGAGGGAATTAGTGGGGGTCTCTCTGTCACACACACACAGGGAATGAGTGGGGGGTTCTCACTAACACCCCAGTGAGATGTCATTGGGACGGTCCCTCACCAATACCCCATTGGGAATGAGCGGGGTCCCTCTAAGATCCCCATGGGACCAACTGAGATCTCTCCCACCACCGGAATGCCCCAGACCCTTGGATCTCCCCTCCCCTCCCCTCCCCTCTAGGCACAGGTTGGATGTCCCCATTTGGGATGGGACTCAGTAAAGGCAGCTGTTCCCTCTCACCTTCTTTTGCTCCCCCCACCCCTTGGACATCTCAGCCTGGCCTGTCTTCCCAGGCAAGGGAGAAGTGGAGGCTTTGTTACCCTTGGGAACAGGTGCAGTGGGAAGCCCTGGGAGGGGATGGATGACATTCTCTCATGGTTTTCACTCACCCCATTTCTCCGCTCTCATTTGCAGTGCAGCCTGGTTGCATTGGCCAGAGGCTGGAGGGCAGGGTGGGGGCAGCTGCCTTCTCTCACACCCTCATTAGAGTCACTCCTCCAGTTTTGATCCTTTCCTCACCCGTGCACCCTGCAGTGGGTGTCATGGCTGTGTAGCATGCCCCGGATCAGTACAAGTTACACTGGCTTTGTCACACCCGCTTGCCAACCAGGGTAGGCCTGCTTTGCGAATTACACTGTCATTCTCAGCCCTGTGGATTTGGCCTCCAGGCTGGGCGATAAGTATCGCATCCTCTCATGCCAGCCTTGAAGTGGGCCAGAGAAACACGGGAAAGTATCCAGATGACTGCAAACAACAGCAGGGGAGAGAGAGAGAGAGAAGCTGGAGGAGGGTGGAGAAAGTGAGGAAGAGACGCTTGCCAGAGAACCGGACTCTCTGGCTCTGTGGCCTGCTTCTTGCCTCAAGCCCCATAACCCATTCGTTGCTATTTCATCTCATTGCTTCCCCTTCCCTGAGGCCGGTTCTGCCAGGCCCAGGCTCCCTCTGCTCCAGATCTCCGTGTCAGGTACTGGATGGCTCCACTCCAGGGCTGTGGCAGGAGGCAAGACTGATCCCTAATTCCTGGCCCCTTTTCAGGCCTGGGAGCTCACCAAGGCAGGCCTCTCACAAGGATGTATTAAGGTGGTTTCACTGTAGGCAAGAAGGTAGGGGGTGATTGACAGGTTGAGCTCAATGCTAGCACCCTCTTGGCCCATTCTACAAGAAAGGGGTTCTCACCGAGTGTTGGGACCAACACCCATGGTTCTGCCTCATATGCCCAGGAATCACAATACCCAGTGCCTGTGATTTGGATAACTGTGGCCCAAACCCCAAGGAAAGTGGCTTACACTGATCTTGGTCTCGACAAATCCCTTCCCACTCTGCCCTGAATAGCCACAACCATATGTGCCTGTCTTGACTTGCATCCAAAGAGTAGTTAATGTTGCAATGGGCAGACAGACCGAAGGACTGATCTGCCTCCAGGGACTAAAAGGCAGCAATTGGTCTGTTGCCACCCAGGTGAGGTCTCTCACCAACCCTCCTGGCTGGCTTTGTAGTGGTCTAGCAGTCTCTGCCTGCTAGGTGCCAGGCAGTGACAGCCCAGGGGGTTTGCTTGGCTTCACTGTGATGAATGTAGGGCTTAGAAAGGGACCACCAGCTGGTTTTGCAGGTGCCCCATCTGAATAGCTCAGGGCAAGAATGCAGGTCAGTAGAGAGAGCAGGGTGCAGAGAAGAAATGCCTGAGCCATGCCCAGACAGGCTGTTCCCAGCACAGACACCCCTTCCTTTTCACTTGCAAATGGAAATATTCGGCTGTGGGGGAAAACACCTCCAACAGCACATTGTGCAACAGAGCTGCTCTCTGGCTGCTCACAGGCCTGTGTGTTTCTTTTTGGTGGGATGTCTAGCAAAGGTGCTCATTTACCAAGAGCTTAGTCCAAACCAAATACCACCTGAGGTCATTCCATTCAATCCCTATGCATTCTCCCTTGCTATTGCAATCAGCTGCATTATCCTTCACTGTATGGCATGGTGTGGCTGTACACTTTTCAAACCACTGCTATACTCCACCCCAGAGGAAGCTGCATTTTAGCAGTGGGTAAAGTGCTCCCTGTGAACAGAGCACACTGGGATCCTTCTGGACCAGATCTGCTAGTTTTAGGCCGCTGTTACTGTACTAGGAATCTGCAGTGATGATGATTATTCAGTGACTGCTGCCAGGATTTTTCAGCTCATGCATAAAACTGACTCACCGTGGGGATGTCAGCAATGGCAGGGGGAGGAGACTTTAATTGGACATCAAAGGACATCACTTGCCCCTGATAAGTTGAACACTGCAAAGCTGTTTTATTAGAGAGACAGTTGATCCAGCTGGCTGAGTGAAAGGTCAGCCTCATGGTTATGGCAATGGATGGTGAGTTCTGCTCCTAGAGCTGCCACAGAGGACCTGTGTGACCTTGAGGCCTCCGCTTAATCACTCTGTGCCTCAGTTTCTCAACTCCAACATCAGATGAGAATGCCTCCCTTCTCCCACTTCCTATGAGGGTTGTGGGCTCCTGAGATTCCTCAGGGCTGCCTTCTGCTGTATGTCCATGTAGCCCCCAGGACAAAGCAGCTCCACCCCTGCCATAGAGATAAGGGGATTGACGTTTCATTGCGCCAGGTGCTGTCTAAGCACACACAGAAGGAGAGGCCTTGCACCACAGAGCCCATAGGCTAAATAATACAGACAAAAGCTAGGAGTCAGGAATAGTAAATAATCATCCTTTGCGTATTTTGTTAGTAAAATTGTGAAGCACTAGACAACAAAAGTCAGTGGCATTGTTCCCACTGTCCAGGTGGGGAAACAGCCATGAGGAGGTGATGGGGTATCCTCAAAGGTCACTCAGCTGGCCAAGGGGAAAATTGGGACTAGACTCCAGGTGTCCTGCTTCCTGCTTAGCACTCTCCACTAGAGCATGCTAATTCCTGATTTTGCTAAGCTCAGATATATCAGTACTGGAGCCTCTTACTGTGGTCAAGATCCAAAATGGCTGTTCTGGGTGATTATTTACGCTGGTTTTGCTAGACCAAATACAGTCCGAAAGTGAAACTGTTTGGGTAGGTCTCTCTGGCTAAATAGGGTGCAAAATGAACAAGGCACTGAACTGGGACTCAGGAGACCAGATTCTATGCCCAGCTCTGCCACTGACCTGCTATGTGACCTCGGGCAAGTCACTTGCCCTGTGTGGCTTTGTTTCACCCACCTTTTATCTGCCTTACTGCTTCAAACTCTTAGCTCTTTGGTGCTGGGAGTATCTCCTAGTTTATGTATGTACAGCACCTAGCACCCTGGAATGTGGGCAGTACCTCCATGTTCTAAGACAGCAGTGTTCAGCCTTCTGCCCCTGGAGACCAGAGGAGTGGTGTGGGGCAGATCCATGGGCCAGATCAGACCCCACACCAGCCTCATGTGCCAGGATTGGGCCCCAGGGCCCTGAGCCACTCTGCTAGGATCCTGTGCACTGGGATTGGACCCCTCATCACCTTGTGTGCCAAATGCAGCGTGCAAGGCCATGCTATCCAGCCTGCAGGGCAGCCATGAGTCTGGAAATTTGGCAGCAGGTGAACGATGATACCTGTGGGAAGCCCCACAGGCCAGATAACCTGGCACCAGGGGTTGAATCTGGCCCACAGGCTGGGGGTTGAGCACCATTGTTATAAGATTATTCACTCAAAATAAATCATTATAACCCTGTCCAGCCTGTGACACTCATGCCATGGGATCCAGGATTGAGGCCAGCATCCATTTACTGAGCATGATTGACGGTAGCAGCAATGCCAGGAAGGAGTGTTGCAGTGGCTGTGATGGGGCTGTGGAGCAGCGTCCCATTTCATCATGCCTGATCTGTGGTATGAAGTCCAACCTGTTAGACATCAGTGAGCAATGCCTCCTTCCCTCAGATGACAAACCATGCGGGGCAGCCACGGGAGAAGGCTGGGGCCTGAAAAGGTATGAAGCCAAGGCCTAAGGCAGCCTATGGCTACTGCTTAGTGCTAACAGTGCAGGGGGGAGGGGCGGGTGGCATCAGGGGTGGACTCCACTCCAGAAAGGTCAGATCCTGCTGCTGTGAACACAGCAGAAGAATAGACAGCAAGGACTTGCTCACATCTCCCTTCTCCAGGGGTTGGTTGGCTTCTTTTCTATATTCCACCCATGGGAGGCAGCTGTACACACACTTAGATCCTGCAGTCAGTGCCATGGTGGGGAAGTGCATTGAAGTCAATGGTGCTTCTGTGAGGCCTGGGATAGTATTGATTCCATCCCCCTGGATCTGGACCTGCAAATGCAGCAGGGGGAGGGGATCAGGAGGGTCTGGGGGGAGGTAAGAATAAAATGAATAAGGAAAAGAATAAAATGCTCAGCACTGCCCTAAAGTTGCAGGCTTCTCCCACCTTCTCTGTGATTACTTTTATTAGGCACCACCAGTACTAGGTGAACCTTGAGCCTGGAGGCTATGGTGCAAAGTGCTGTATGCATGCTTGGGACAGGATGAAGTCAGGAAAAGAAAACCAGCTGCTCTACCCAAATAATTCTGAAATAGTGGGAATCAGGACTGTTTCTAGACCCAACAGTTAGAAGAATGGACTGAGAGCCAGGGCTCCTTTTCCTGGCTGGGGCTGGAACAGAGGGCCTAGAGACAAGATTTCTGGATGGTCTGTCTGGATCTGGGAGAGGGAGGAGGTCTAAAGGTTAGGGCAAGGGACTTGTGAATCAGGAGTCCCGAGGTCTCAGCTGTAATCTCGGAGGAAGGTGGTCTCACATGTGGAGAAGGGGGCCGAGACCCAGAACTTTGGGATTCTCTGTTGGGCTCTAGGAGGGAATTGTGTTGTAGGCAGAAGGATCCTAAAAGCCAGGACCCCCGAGTCCTCTTTTGCATGTGGTTTAACTTTGGACACTGCATATTTTTGGTGTCCTTTTTTTTAAAAACATTTCCTACTTTACACAGTTGCTGGTCTGCTTGCAAAATGGGGTTACCTTGTCCTGGGCCTCTCAAAAGGGCTCTGTGAGGCTTCAACCCTGAAGGCCTGCAGAAGGCTTGGAGATGTCTGGATGGAGATGGGCAGAGGGTTACTACCTCAAGAGTGACATGGACTTGATCTCTCTCTGCAGCAGCAGAAGTATCCCCAGGCTCCGGCACTGGACACTCACCCATTCCCTGTGCTGGGGAAGGGGTGACTGGGGGATAAGGAGGTTGGCCCCACCAGAGCCAACTCCCTGCCTCATGAACTAGTGCTTCAGGGAGGCTATCTCATCGTTCCCTTGCCTCATTAAACCAGGCCAGGGCACAAATAAGGAGATACACACAGCAGGGGAGGCACACACACACAGGTGGAAAACACACAACTTTATTATGGTACAAAACACCAGCTATTGTCCCATTCTCTTCACAGCAATAAAGAATCCTACATTGTTTCATCTATGGGGCTCCTACATGAACAGCTTGAGAGACAGAAAAGCAGCCCAGGACTCCATGTTTCTTGCCAGTGATTCCCACCAGGGAATCAAACTAATCCAGGAGAACTGTGGGAGCAACCTCTTTTTGCCTCCCATGTCCAGCATCAGGCCTTCCAAGTCACCCAGGCCTCCCA